ACCAACAGGACCTGGATTCCTACGGAAAAATGATGCCTGAAAACTTAAAGCCCCTGTCCCAGCTTGTCACCCACGCTCCCTGTCACCCTCTGAAGGCAGGCAGCTCTTTGGGAAGCATTTCTGGTCATCCCCTGAAGGACACAGGGCTCTCTGAGGTGGAGAGCTGCTGGATGCCCAGCACAGACACCTGTGCTCCAGAGGGCAGGTTCTTCTTCAGGCACGTATATCCTGCTTTTCTGCCTTGGAAGGAGGGGGGAATGGCCCCAGACGCCAGACCGGGGCTGGAATTTCCACCCCAGGACAGTGCTGAGCTGGAGGCTCTCTTAACCCCGCTAATCCTCTTTGCTTAGGAGCTAATTACATTCCCAGCGAGAGCAGGGACCCTTGGGAAGGGGGCAGGGAGGCAGGGCACAGTCGGGAGTTGAACTCAGGCTCCCCCCGGCAGCCAGGGCAGGTGAGGCAGGAGCCGGGCGCTCCTCCCTGCTCTCCTTTTAGCTCTTCTCTGAAACCTATGTGCCGACACCAAAATAATTTTGGCACAAACCCTTTCCTCGGCTCTCCTTCTCTAACCCATCCCCCGGCTGCCGGCAGCGACACCCTGTTCTGCACAAAGGCTGATTCCAGGGAGTTTTTTCCATCCCCCTGGAATCCGTTTTCCAGGCATTCCTCCCCGCAGCCGAGTGCAGGAGCTGCAAGTAGGGCAGGTCAGCCCCTTGCTCAGCATCAGCATCTCGGACCTGAGCAGTGCAGCAGCCTGCCCTGGGGAGCTCTTCTGCTCAGGGACCAATTTTATGCTGCAGGAGCTCTTGGATCGTGATGAAAAGCGAGGTCTGGGGCTTTCCAGACAGTATTTGATATAGTGATCACAAGCTCTTGCAATAAATCCATCTGAAAGGGCTGGTTAGCATCTGGCTGCAGGTACCAGGGGAGCAGCAGAAGGGGAACATGTCCCATGAAGGGCTCAAGCAAACACTGCTCCTGCATCCTGTGATACCACATCCAGGACAATCACAGAATCCCTGATCTGAAGGGACCTTAAAGCTCATCTCATTCCACCTCCCTACCATGAGCAGGACACCATCCACTGGACCAGGTTACTCAAAGCCCAATCCAACCTGGCCTTGAGCACTTCCAGGGATGGGAGGTCCACAGCTTCCCTGGGAAACCTGTTCCTGTGTCTCACCAACATGTGATAGGCATATGCCATATTATATATGCATATAATGCATGTAATAAGGAGCCCAAGAGCATCAGCTGGTGAGATCAGACAGGGCAATGCAGCAGCACCACCTATGACAACCTAAGTGTTGTAAAAAAAAAGGGTTATTTTTACAATGCATGGGAAAATGAAGGGAAAAAAAGCAGGTTTAGCATCTGGATGGGGTATGGTGAGAACCACAAATCAGTAAGAGGACCCTCCTGAGGATCAGGTGCCCACTGGAGGTCACAGCCTGGCACCTGGGAATCAGCAGTGCTCTGCAATGAAACTTGTCACTGCTCCTGTTTCAGGCTGGTTAATTAGGCAAAGGGGCATCCTGCCATGTTTATTTAGTAACACAGCATGCATAGTCCATTTGTTCCTTAATACAAAACCCCTGGAGTCAATTGGGGTCAACTGGGGTTACTGGGAGAACATCATGCCAGCACAAGGCCAATCATGCTGCAAGCCAGCTCTTGCCAGATCACTTGTTCCCTCAGCACACTCTGCCATAAACAGGAGAGATTTCCCATGTCCCCAGCAAAATGACCCAGCACTTGGTCTTCCTGCAACAGAAATCTCTCCCCTTCCTGCATGGCACCAGGCTGAGGCTGTAGGGAATTTGGGAGAGTCCCAAAGTGTCATCTCTGGCTTGAGAACAGCTCCTAGTACTGCTCCCAGGATGCAGCTCCTGGAGGAGGTGTGAGGAGGTGGGAGGAAGCTCCAGGCACCTGTACTCCTGGTATTTCACATAAACAACTTATTTAAAGCTGGGTAACATGTATTATGGCAAGCATGCACAGGAAGTGGAAGTCAGGCACACTTTTGGGATTCCTCTGCTGGTCACCCACAGAGGAATGGGCCGCCACAGTCCACACACTTCTCCTGGGATGTACTGCCAAAATTCCACTCATATCCCCAAACTCTTCACATGCCCTAGGCTTCCAGTTCTCACCAGCACCTTCTGATCATGCCCACCAAGACCCAAAGCCAGAGGAAAGCCAGCCTTGCTGGCAGATCTTCTGGAAATTCTGGGCTCAGAGGCCCAACCCAGCTTCTCATGGGTGGGATGCTCTTGGAGCATCCTTCACCTGCATAAGAATCAGTTTACAGCAATAAGGGAAGCACAAGTTACCCTTCTCTTTGGGTGGCTCAGCACCTATGCAGCTCAGCCAGTGAGTCTACAGAAACCAGCACTTTTAGTATTTTCTCCTCTTTTGGTAGGTTTGAGTGCACTTGGCTGAACAGAGAGCTGGGGAGGAGGCAGCTCCTTGGATACCTCCCCAGGCAGCTGCACAGGGTGGGAGGGGACGGCAGGGACACAGAGCCTCCGACTCCATCTTTAGATCAGGAGTGGGATGGGAATGAAAATACCATGGCTATAATAACACATTTTTCCAGGGAAATCAGGAGTTTTAGGGGGTTGCAAATAGGGGCAACAGCCTTCCCCACTTTCTGGAAGTGACAATACAACTTTATTTGCAGGAAACACATGGTTTTAGCACTATTTTCCTACAAAACTCCATCCTTCTTCCAAAATCCAGGCCACTGTGGGCCATGCCCTCTCCCTCCCTGTGGCTGATGCTTTTTGGGCCCAGGGTGAAGCCTTGCCCAGGCTCCAGGGGTGTGTACAGAGCGTGCTGCCAACCTCAACCACAGTTCATGCTCCTCTGCACTTACCAGACTTGGGATCAAATCCCTCATTAGTTTTCACACAACTTCCAAGGGCAGCTTATAGCCAAGGTCCTAATTCATCAAGCAATTAATGGATCAAGCCTCACTACTTCAAAGAGTGAGTTCTGGTATTTGCATGAACCTCAGGGCTTGGGACAAGCCCATGTGAGCTGCAGGCAAAGAGAGATCAGACCACAGAGCAATTTTCCCAGAAGATCAAGCAAACCTAAAGCCCAACCACATTAACAGACCTTGCAATGCTTTCCTTTCCTCAGAAAGTTTTTGTTAAAAACATCTACAGCACAAGTGTTGCACTTCTTCCTCAATTCTTATAAAAATAAATCCCATAAACCAACCCAACCATGCAGAGCTGGACAAAGGTTCAGTATAAAGGGAAAGAAAACCCATGACAGCCTGGGTAGGATCTTGCTGTGGGTCTTCACTCTGTGTGAAGGCTCACAGATGTTGCAGGGATGAGCTGCAGCAAGAAACACCAAGAGGAGCATACATGCCAGGGTGGGTTTGCCCAAGGGTGTCCAAAGGCATTTAATGGAGAGCTCTGGCAACCTGGGCAGAGTCCAGCCTTCAAAATCTGAAATTTAATCCCAGGTGTCAGCTAGTGACCCTGGAGACAAGGGCTGGGAGAGCTCACCTTTCCCTGGTACATGCAGAGATCACCCTGTTACTGGCTACAACCCAACCCCAAATTAATTCTCTAATTAATTAATTAGCAGCCAGGTGCCAGGGAGCGTTAAAGCCGTTTCACCAATCCATGAGCTTCCTGAAGCCTGGGAACACACTGCTGCCCAGGGGGAAGCCAACAGGGTTCAGCCCTACCCAAAGAACAAACACTTGGACTCTTTCCTCACTCAAGCCCCTGGGGCAGGGTGGAGGCAGCGGGGGAGCAGCAGCAGGAGCAGAGCACTGGCATTGCAAACAGCATTGTGTACACTGAGATGGCCCTTTGGGGGTTTGCACCTCCACAGACACTCTGGGAAGGCGTCTCCTCCACTGCCAACGTGACCATGAGTAGAGCAGCAGCAGCAGCAGCAGCTTCAGGAAGAACAGAAAATTACTGGGTGTAATTGAAACCGCAGGGAGGAGCTAGGGACATAAAATGTAATTATCTGCCATGGAACACATCCAAGATTAGCAATCCTACTTCTGGTCATTTCAAGTTCCCATTAACTTCTCCATGTGCTGATGTTATCAATTCTGTGTCTTAACTGCGATATGCAGCACTTCCAGGAGCAAGGCCTGGGCCTCCTCTGGCCAGGGTCTCAAATCACTTGTCCAGGAGGAGGTGAAGGAAGATGTCCCTCCCTAGGTGCCAAGGTGGAAGGGCTAGGAGGATGCTCCAGCTGAACCACTTGCACCACTCTCCTCTCTAGGCACCAGTAGCTAGAACTGGCTAAGGTGCTTCTTTGCTGCTTGGGAAGATGATCTGTGTGGGCATCACAATTCAGAGACACTCTCAAATCTAACAGGTAAGACTGGGTGGACTTCAGACCATCTCAGCCTCTGTTCTCCTCTCCTTGCACTCCATCTCAGCAGGCTACAGAATTCAACATCCAATTCACATCCATACAACACTGGGCATCCCCCCATCCACCCTATGCACAGCCCATTCCATTGTCCTGCACCCAGGCTCCTCTTGCTGAGGCCCTGACACTTTCTTGCCCTGTATCATCTTCCTTTATGCCTCACTATTTGAGAATGCAGGAGCTGCAGAACATCCCTCATTAGCCTCATCTCCAGTCTGCCCAAGGCCTCCTTCCACAGCAAGAGGAAGAGGACACAAATTGGTGACTGGCACTTGCATGACCTCACCCTTGGACACCTTTGGGGACAGGGGGCACTGCTGGGGGTGCCCTTAACAACAGCCATGCCTTGTTCTGTTCCTTGCATGAAATCAGTGTAGACATATGAAATCCATGTCTTTGCCAAGAGGTGAAGGACCATGGACTCCAGCCCTGCAGCTTGCCCCAGGAGGAAAATTAGCTTCAGCAGTTCCTTAAAGGCTTTTTCATAGCCCTTTGAAAGCAAGCACCCCATCTTCTCTCCATTTTAAGCAAGGAGAGAGGACACACCCTGGGATCAGAAGACGCCCACCCCGGCACCCCCTTACCTCCACGAGGTGAGGCGTGGGGTTGAAGCCGCACATGTTGCAGACCTGCTGCCGGCAGGTGGTGCAGGTGTTGTAGTTGGGGGGCTCAGCGGAGCCCACGTTGATCTCAGCCTTGCAGAGGGGGCACGAGACCCTTGCTTTCGGCACTTCCTTTGGCTTGACACCCTGCTCGGCCTTGCCCGGCTTCGCCGCCGCCGCGGCACCAGCCCGGCCCTGCGCCCCGGGGGCTTTGGGCCCAGCCTCTTTGCTGGCGTCGCTGAAGACAATTTTTGGAGGCACTTTGCCAGGAGACGGCTGGCTCGGAGCAGGGGCCTCTGGCTGGACAGACATGAGTGTGCTGGCCTGGGTCAGGAGGGATGCCCCGAAGCCAAAGAGCTTCCCTGTGAGCCCCTCCTGGGGCTGCTCTGGTGCTCCAGCCCCGGGGGCCGGGGCAGCAGGCTTTGCTCCCGCATCTCCCTGCGTCTTTCTCTGCTCAGAGGGGGAAGGCTTGGCTTGCTGATGCTGCGGGGAGGCCCTGGCCTGATGCTGCGGGGAGGACCTGGCGGCCTCCTGAGGTTTTGGCTGTCCTTGGCCGTGCGGTTCCCTCTGCGGCGTTGCGGGCTGAGGTTTGGGTTGCTCCTGTGGCAGGGGGCGGGGGGCTGGCGGGGTCTTATCTGCAGCGGGGGGCTGTGGGTGCTTGGCTGGGGACTGGGAGGGGGACGGGGAGGGGGAGTGCAGCTGCTGCTGGCTCTTGGAGCGAGGAGCGGTGGTCATGTCCATCCCCAGCGCCCGCTGCATCTGGCAGTTCAAGCACAGCCATTCCTTCACCTGTGAGACAAGGAGAGGACAGGGGCAGTGAGTGATGGGCTGGTACTGCTGCCTGCAGGTAGCCCCAGCACACCCTTACCTCTCCCCAAACAGACCCCACAGAGCCACAGGAACCAATCATCAGCCCCTGAAAGACATTTTGGTACCATGTTCTTCAGTAGCAGTACCTTGCAGTCAGGGCAAGCAGCCCCCATCTGTCACAGGTACCCACGGCACAGCATGCCAGCATGAACGCCAGCTTTAATTAGCCTTGGGCTGCTTCCAAGGCTTCTGCTGTGAAGTGACTGCTTGCCATGAGGCTCTGCCTCTCCTGGGGGAAGAGGGGCCTTTCCCAGGCCTCACAGCTCCACCAACTCCCCAGAGCCCATTTTCTCCCTCCTGACCAGAGATACCAAAGAGAATAGCCAAGGCCAAATGAGGAAACACCACTGTGCCATGCTCAGCGCTTCCCTGGGGCTAGCAGAGATGGATTTTCTGGAATCAGTGCAATGACTATGATATTCCATCTCAAAATTTGGCTCTGGAATGCTACAAGGGAGTGCAAAGAGTGCTGCTCCTTGCACAATGCATCTGCAGTTCCAGGAAGGGAAGTGCAGGCTGGGGAGCAAAGGGTTAATTTTCACTCTCACCATGATGAACTTTTGCAAGCAAATGAAAAATAGAACAGTTCCCTGGCTAAGTGGTGATAAACGAAAGACTTTCCCCACGAGAGATGTTCCCTGTGACACACTAATGTCTAAATTAAGTTAATTAAAGAGGCTGTAGAGCCTTTCCATATGAGGAATCACCAGGATGCTCAGCAGCTCCACAAGCATTAATATACAGCACAGTCAGCAGGATGGCCAGGTCTGCTTGCAGAAGACTTCTCCAAGACAAGCAGCTAAGGTGGCAAAAAGGACCAGAACATTCCTAAAACCCAGAGCAGCACCCAGGACAAGCAGATGCAGAGCCTGGCAGGGGCAGGCAACAGCTCCTGGCCCTTGCACTCCCTGCAGGCTGCACATCCCACAGGCCTGCACCCACTGCACGAGGTGTGGATTTTCCTGCCTTTCATTCTGGAAGCCATCTCTTCATTCCAGTGTTACAGATCACCTCTAAGGCTCAGCCTAATCCCCACTGCAGAGACATTAATCACCTTGCCCAGTCCTGCAGCTCCAGGTCTGTGTGGCCTTTTGGTCCTACAGTGATTCATAACCTGGCCATAGGGTTTTCCCCCCTCCACTCCAATCACACAATAGGCACATTTTAACCTTTTTCTGCTCACAGGAGCTGCCTGCAGAGATGCAGTTGGGTGTTATTGTAGGTCTCATGATGGGACACGATGACAAGTCCTTGAGAGGTGAGGCAGATAAGCCCTAAATCCCTTGTTACAAGTCTCCTGCCCAGAAGGGTTCTCATAAATGCCAGCCTTCAAATAATAACTTTTAAAACTGAGGAAATTCAGATCAGCTAGGAGAGATGGGTTCAAATTCACGGGGGTGGATGAAACCTCCACCTGCCCACCGCACCCCTTCCCCTCTCTGCCCGGCACATGCTGGGTGCCAAGGCTTGGCATTGCCTCCAGCAAAGCTCTCCCCATCACCTTACAAGCCTGGCTGCACATCAGCTCTGTGCTTTTCCCAGACTTCCCTGTACTTGCTGAGCTCCCACGCCACTCTCTACACCAGCCTCCGCTCGAGTCCTTCACTTGGAGCCGAGGGAAAACAGCCTCAATTTTCCCCAGCAATTTTGTGCTACATTGTCGTTTCTCCAAGCTGTTCCAAAGGAGCCACGTTATATTTAGTCCCTGAAAATAGTACTTCAGTTTTTATAATTTCTTAGGGTCTTGCTGTCTCTCTTCTGACATCCAAAATTTCTTGCGTTATTTTTGCTTTCACACCCCCTGGAATTTTTCCCCACAGTTCTATTTCAAGAGAGTGTCTACCAAAATCCCATCAGCTTTGCCCACCATCCCCATCAGCTCAAATTAAGGGAGAACCAATCCTTTCTATTCAGGTTCTTGTTCCCAGGATGCAAGAAATTCAAATCTTCCCTCTCCACATAATCTCCTTACCCGCACTTTAAGACCCTTGGTGAGGTGGAAACTGGGGGAAGAGGAGTTCCCCTCCCTCCCTGTGCCACACAGAGCCCCCCACTCTGGCCCTGGCCAAGGCTCCTCCAGGAAAACCCAGGCAGTGGGAGGCACTGTGCCTGGGCCACAGGAGCTGGGCAGGCTCATGGACAAGCCCACCAGGACCTCCCTCAGCTCAGGGCTGCAGAACAACGGGATCATTGGAAATGTCTCACTTTTCACAATGAACCTACCACCCAGACAGGAAAAAGCCAGGGGGTGTTTAGATGGGATAGGAGCATCCAATTGCCCTTGGTGACTTGGTGAGGAACTGCTGTGGAACATCTGTCCTGGGGAGCAGGAGAAAGCTGCAGGAAATACGGTGGGGTGTGAGCTCCCAGAGCAAGCATTTGAAATATAAATTGAGTTGGGATTAGCACAAATTGCCTGGCCGGCCTCCACTGATGCAACTGATGACACACCGTGTGGGTTACACAGATCAAAGACAACTTAAAGGATGCTGCAGGGAAGATAGCAGAGGAAGGGCTGAGTTGTCTTGCCAAAGATCCTTCCCCCAAGGAGGAGAAAGGAGAAGGGAAAAGCTTGGGTGATAAAGAAATAGTAGGAAAAAATAATTCTTTTCATACTCTCTTCCCCCATTTCTCTCTACTGTTTTCTAGGCATCTTCCCCCTGCATGATGAATCTGAAGCATTTAGAGGATGGTGATGCAAATAATGAAATAATCCCATTCCATCTATTTCTGTGTCCTGTTTGCCCAATTCCTCACCAAATCAAAAGTTTCAGGGGTTGGATTAGTAAAGATTTACACCCAGACTCTTCCTAGAAAGGATGGGAGTCCATCAGTGGGGGAGATGGAAGAGATGCTAATGAGACAGATATGATGGACATGCTGTAATCACTGTCCTGGAACATTTGGGAACAAGAAGGATTACACTCGTTATGAGGATGAAGCATTTCCATCCTATTAGCAATCGAGAAGAACATCCAACAACATCTACCAGCACCAGAAGATATTTAAATTTGGCAGAACTGAATAATTTTGCATCCAAGAGCTCTAAGAGAACTAAGAAAACTGCTGTGTGCTGATGTTCATTTTTAAGAGGAAATTTTAGTAGGCTGTAAGAGTCTTCTGCTTGAAGAAGGCAAAGGTATGGCCTGCAGGGGACAGGGAGACAGACATCTGTCCAAGGCAGAAAGTGCAGAGAACTGAAGGACACACAAATATGCCCATCAACAGGGTTTAGGAAAAATAGGTCACAGCAAAGCAAACCTGATTTTATTCTCTGCACATCTGATATTAGTAATGCACAGAAGCAATATCCTTGATGTCCAAAAGGTGTTTTGACCTAGTATTGTATGACATGCTGACAAAAATAAAAAGCACTATAGAATATGAATAGTGAATATGCTAAATGGATTTCAGACTGGTTACCTGGCTTAGCTAGGGACAACAAGAATTCACCACTGCCAACGTATCATCATCTCACTACAGGCAGCACCACTCACACACAGTGGGTTTGGTAAAACAACAGAATCAGAGTGGTTTTGGTTGGAAGGGACTTGAAAGATCATCTTGTTCCAGCTGCCCTTATATTAAATATCGATGAAGATGAGCCTCTACTGCCTGGCAAACCTGTGCTCAATCCATGCAGGAAGCCTGGAGCTGGAAGCAGGAGTGAGGAGGTGGCTGAGCCTCCTCTCCCAGCACCAAGGGACTCCTTCCAGAGCCCTGCATGGCTCCACACCGACATTTTAAGGAGATTAGTAAAACACTGCGGGAGATGCGGGCCGGATCTGTGAGAGCGATTCCAGGGACGCAGAAAATGTCTGGAATGAGAGAACTGAAGAGGTTGATCTTTTTCCTTTATCAAAGAGAAGATTAAGAAGTGACTTGATTACGATATAGCAGCACATTCAGTGGAAACAATATCAGGTACTAAAAGGTTGTTAATTAGGCAGAAAAAAGCATAAAAAGAACTAATGACTGGAAGTTGAAGCCAAATATATTAAGCATCACTTTTAACAGCAGATGTTTCTAACCATTAAAGCAAATTATACACATGCTGTTGGGCTCAGCAGAAGACTCAGGGAGGTAAAGCTTGCAGGCCTTTCATCTATAGGGTATTTTGTGCCTGTTCTGGTCTCACAAGCTTTGATAGCTTGAACCATCCCATCTGTATGGACATTTGGAATGTTTGTATCTGACACCTGACCTGCCCTGGCCTCCAAGCAGTTCCCAACACACCTACAACCACCAGCCTCACCTTTTCCACCACAGAGCCCTCCAACACCCCAGAATATTCCTCAAAACCCCCTTCCAAATCTTATTATTCCCCAATGCATGGGTAGGTCAGCAAGTGGCAGTGCTTGCTGGGTCACAGCTGGCAGATGTGCCTCCCCCCTCAGTGCTGTCCTGTGAGCACCAACCATTTGCAAATCCTGTTAGGAATGAAAACTTTCCAATCAGCGTTTTCTTTTAAAAAATTGCAGCAGGAATATCCACAGCATGTGCTGGCTCTGCCCAGTGCAGATTTAAACATTGATAAGAATTATAAATTGAATATACATATACACACACACGTATAAAATTACAGGCATGGTGGGCTAGATTGTGACCCTCTGCAGAGCAGGTACATAAGGGAGACCAAGATCTATCCCTGTGCATTGTGGTTTCCAAATCATCCAGAGAAACATCAAGAAAAGCACACGTTTAAAAGGGATCTGAAATGATACAGACACAGCTTGAGTCTGTAAGGCTTCTGCAGTTATTCTAACACCACTATTTTAGGAGACTATGTGAAAATAGCCCATCCCCAGTATTTGTTACCAGGAGATGTGAGGGAGTGCTGGTTATGTTCAGGTTGTTTTGTTCCCCTGTGGTAAGACAATACAGCTCCAAAAGTATCTCGAGTATAGAGTTCAGCCGTT